TTTTCCGTGGGGGCGAAAAGCTAAAAGGAAAGATAAATGTGCCAGATCAATTTTTTTAAGTAATACACATATTGCTCTACTTAAAAAAACGGTAGACAGATGTGTAATTTTACAAGATCGCGATCCGCCACGTGTTCCGTTTCGACAGGAAGATGCGTTTCCTCTTTCGAAGTGTTGGAATTAAACTTGCCGATTCATCTACACTACGTGCCACGTTCCACCAAGTTATTTAGTGCAAACGCGACGGATATCCTTCGAGCGTTTCCCAAAGGTCCGGTGGAAAATCGGTGGAAAATTACTTCTCGCTCTCTGAAAAGTCATTAAATTCGCGTGTGTCCCACAAAGTATCGAGTCTATATTTCATCCGGTAGGAAAAAAAAAGAATCGACGAAATGTCCCCGCCGATAGTGGCGAGCGAGGCTATCGCGCCGATACATCCTGCACGGTCGAGACGAATCGACGGGGGTGCATTGTGCGCGACAGGGGTGACGGTACCACGCGTGAAAATAGTTCCTCAATTTTCCACGGCAGTTCGCCGAACTGAGAAATTGCCAGTTCTCACTGGCGTACCTCGGAACCCACGATTTTCGATCCCGCCACCTCATTTTCAATCTTTTTACTCTTCATGGGCATCTCGAGAAGACGCGCGGTACAAAACTTTCGAGCAAATTCGAGAGATTACAGAATTTAATATCGCTGAAAATTTGTAAAACATTGACAACTCTAATACGCCGTAAAAGCTTCGAAACTGGATAATATTGTAAATCAGAATTTTCCTGCGCAAGAAAATATAATCTCGCCTATGCTCCTCTTAGTAAAATTTCTGACATACGAATTAATATTTTGCGAATAAAAATATATAAATTATAATTTTATTAATTCTTAATATATAAATTGATAATACGGAATTCGTATATACAATTGTTTTGCGTACCTGCGCGTTTGTAAGATTTCAATTCGCTCGATACTCGTCCGCGTTGCAAAGGAATATTTTTATTTGACACCTGCATTATTTTTCTTTCCAAGTACCGCGTGCTATGAAATGTTACAGCGAGGT